ACACACACACACACACACACACACACACACACACACACACATACGATCTTGGCGGAGGACGATTTCGTCTTGGGTAAGTTGTACTCTGCCATCCATGACTTTATGAATGAATGGTTCCTGGCCCTGTGATACGCACAATGCTTCACACGTTTGGGAAGCTTGGGGTGTCATGGTGGCTTTGTCTTTGGTTGGGTGGTCAGCGTGTTTCTAGATTCGGGGTTGGGGGAGGGGAGGGGGGCGAGGTGGTTGGGGGGAACGTGTCATTGGACCGCGGCACACCCCCTATCACTTTCAGACACAAATGGGAAGTGGTTTGGGCGGAGAGTGAGAGGAGGGTCGGAGGAGTTGACTACTGCGTGCCGGATTCATTTCGATCTGATTGATTCGAAGAAGAAATGACACCCAGTAGCCAACCCTCGTATGATGTCCGTGTACTGACTGGCAGCGTCGAACGACTGCATACTTCCAGCAGAGGGACACAAAAACAACATTAAACAAACCCTCATGGAGCTTGAAATCATCGTTTTGCCGTTCCACTTACAGACACATAGACAAAAGCACAACCATCATGTCGATGTCAGCGGCGCAGGCGAGGGCAGCTCTTCAAGAGGTGATGCAATACGCGGAGGAGGGCATCCACTACGATGACGACGGGGAGCTTCGACTACTCACGGAGAGAGTGCCGAGTTACTTCGATGTCAGAGTGAACGTTCGTGCAAGCATCACTGCGAACGGAGAGGAGTCGCTCAGAGCACGGATGCTATTGGCACGGTTCACGGAGGCGCATGATTTGCGTGTAGACAACAGTGCTGATACCAGTCCATACAGTTTGAGAAAAGTGGTTGGTTGGATGTGCACTGAAGGGATGTCCAATGAAGGGGACGTGGATATGACAAAGCAGCAGAAGGTTGGAACATACATGCCAGCTGATTTCAAGCAGACGTTGATGACACAGGCGAAGAAATGGGGAATGCTTGTTGAAGATTCTAAGGACGAGATGAAGAGCGGTGCAGCAGAAATTTTAGTACTCTCGCGTTTGAAGGACATACCGCAAGCTCCCCCGCAAGACTTCCAAAATCTTCCAGTAATTATTGCAAACGGGGTGGAGTATGTTTTACTCGACCAACTGGTGGATTTCATGAAAAAGAAACCTGACGATCGGAATGTCATACTTGAGGCATTGCATGATGTGACAGAGCAAGCACTGGCGGACAAAGACCTCATTAACTATAGGGTGCGGAGTGCGGACGAGGATGTCGTATGTGGTACTCCATTGTGGGATGAAATATTCATGGCAACTTTGCATCGCCTCAGCATTGCGACTTCTGAGGTGGACAGAAAGAGGTCAAGGGAAGAAGGATGGAAGTTGGTGGCCATGGAAGCAGATGTTGCACTTCACGCAGCAGATGAACACACTTCAGCAGGGGAAGAAATTGTGAGAACAGTCTCCATCGTGCGTTCTCCAATAAACACAATGTCCACGGAGGAGGTAGAAGAAGAAGATGTGTTCAATGAGTGGACAATGACAGAACAACAACGGGAACGAGGGTTCGAAGACTCTTCTTTACCGATCGATTTCGAATATGACATTGAAGAAACAAGAGTGAGGAACAATGAAAAAGATGCGAGGGCGCCTAACTATGAGGTGGAAGTGAGTGGCAGCGATGTGAGCCGTGACAAGGAGGGTGAGGAATATGATGCCTACTGGGATATGGAAGCAGGGGGAGGACAAACGTCAAAAGGGTGGCCACATGCGATTCTTAGGTTGACAAGTGTATTTTCTAATCCCCATTTACTGTTGCGTGTCGTGCTAAAGGAGGCAACACCTGAGGGCGCACTCCAGTATGCAGCACTGACGACCATTATGAGATCATGCTCGAACGGAAAAAGATGGTCACGTATGGGGAAGTCATGGTTTGTCTTGGTCAACAGAGAGGCTGTCCTCGCAACATCACTTACGTGAGGTCTGGACCTTAGTTGCCTCCTGCACGGGGCTGTAGCCAGCGGTTCTGGTGCTACATTGCACCCGGCACTATCAACAAGAGAGGAAATACTTTGTGCTCACACATGGCTTGACTGCGCACCAGAGACCATGGCGGACAGCGGTGATACAGACATTGGTAGTGGACAGCGTTGAATGCAATTGTTCGATGCACAGGCTATGCATATCATGATTAATTCTGCACAATGCATTTATGGAGTATGTGCAATATTTTAGGTGTTCAAGTGCTCGACAACGGTGTACATGCTCTCTCTCTCTCTCTCTCTCTCTCTCTCTCTCTCTCTCTCTCTCTCTTTGTGCGAGGCTACAACCTGCAATGAGCCCCTTCGACCCCAGGCATAAATATGGGGGCCCCAAGGGGTGATTCGAGTTGCAATTCTGCTTTTCGTTGGAGTGCATGACTTTTTGGCTTTCATGTTGATGGTGTGGAATGCTTGTTCAAGTTTGCTATTGCTCAAAGTATACAGTGTGTGTGTGCGTGTGTTCTTAAATATCTTTTATTAGTGTTTCTTTCAATGACAACAGAAAAATGTTTTTCTTTTATAAATGTTTCATCAAATCCGCACTTCTTCTTTTATAAATGTTTTTCTTTTATAAATGTTCCAACAAATCCGCACTTTTATAAATCTTTTTCTTTTATAAATGCTCTTTCTCTCTCTCTCTCTCTCTCTCTCTCTCTCTCTCTCTCTCTCTCTCTCTCTCTCTCTCTGCGTGTGTGTGTGTGTGTGTGCGCGCGCGCTCAGGAAACGAGGACGTGATACTTTGAAAAAAATTGTGGCATGCCTGGAAGTAAAAAAAATAAAATAAAAAAAATGGTGAAACATTGACCACAATTCTTGATTTTAATACTGCTTGGAATGTTGTTGTTGTCTTGGAATCTGTCAGCAGTGCACATCAACGGTGTTGAGCCTACGGGAGGGAGAGGGGAGACGGGGGTGGGGGGAGTGTGAAAGGAACTCATGAATTTCACACCGAACGCGCATGCTCCATCTGGGATAGGTCTTAACTGACATCACTTTGTATTTCTCGCACATAGTTGCAATGGATGGCGAGAGTCACGTGTGTGACTGTGGGCGGCCTTTCATGTCCTTACGGACGATGAACTCACACCGAGCGCGGGCATGTCCATCCGCTGTGGAAGACAGGAGCACGGCACAAGAGATAGTTGGGGAGGTTATCGGTGGACCATCAAATAGTGATCCCATTAATCTGGTCAGTGGGGAAAGCGAGGAGGTTGAGCCCCCTACCGATGTACAAGCAGACTGCGCATCCGAAGAACAACAAGAACAACACACAAAGGCATTCGACAGCTCCCGCAAACTTGCAGCATTTATTTTCTCATGTACGGGCGGTGTGGGCATGTCCCAAACTGACGTTGACTGTCTGTTGTCACTCCTAAAAAATCCTAGATTCGACCCAAGAAATATCGCATTTCGTAACAGTCGTGAGTGTCTGACATGGGCAAGCCACCAGGCTGAGGCTGCAGGGTGGCAAGAGAACAATCTACGCAGTGATGATTGGTCAGAAGAAGCGCATGTCATTTTGTGGTACCGCGACTGACCCACAACATTCGCTGACCTTGTATGTGCTGCACTGCGCAACGTTGAAACGGTTTCTTGTCTCGAAATAGAACCTCCCGGCGAGGGGATCAACATATGTTGCTCTCGCACGGGCCAGTTGAGTCACCATGTCCAAACTGTTATCAGAGCGGACAAGGGTGTGGACACGAATGGTAAAACACGTTATGTCATCCCTCTGTCTCTGTATTTAGACAAGACTCATGTAGACGGTCGTCAAAAGCAGTCAGCGTATCCTCTGATGATGTCAATAGTCGATCGCGCATCGGACGCCACACTCCTTACGTATCTTCCTGTGCTTCAACACCGACCATGTGACAAGGGCTGGGGTCTGCACTCCACCGCGTTTAGAAAACGGAAAGTTGTGATATTGCATAAAGCGTTGTCAATAGTATTGAGGTCCACAAAGGAGGCATCCCATGACGGCATGATAGTTACAACGGAGCGGTTTGGTGAGATAACAGTCCACCCTTTCGTCATGAACTATATACAGGACTATCCTGAAAGGTGTGCCCTTGCAAATGTGAAATTCGGTGTTTGTCCAACATGCACAATGTCCAAACACGATTTCGATGTCATCGCCGATTTCACCAACTGCAGGAGATCGCAGACGCTAGAGACGCAACTTGCTGCGAACTGCTTCAACAATGGGGACAACGATATTCATCGTGCCGCAGAGGCACGAATGTCAGAACTGAACATGCATAAGCATGTTCAAGAGAACGGCCTTTGGGGATTCTACAGGGGTCCGCATGGTGACGATCCTCAACTGGATTACCATCTCGCTTTGCGACCGGACCGTGCGCACACCATTGAACACGGCAATTTCTTGCATATGATAGATGCATTCAAGGCAGCAGCTTATAAGAAGTTGCCGGATATCGCGCAAACCGAGATATTGCACGAGATGGATGCGAGGTTGCAGAGCGTCAGTGAGAGATGTGTGAGGACATACCCGCAGCTCGTGTTGCCCATGGCCACAGGTTGTGATTTCTTTTCAAGGGAAGGACGATTTGAAGCGAAGCAAAATCGGTCTATTATGACAGTTTGCGTGTTTATTATTTGTGATATCATCCCGCGTGCGACAGGCAAATCAATTTTCGCTTGTTTCATCAAACTCATGGAAATGTACATACACGTATTTCGTAAGTCGACCCACACTGCGACTTCTCTCGATGTATGTGACGCATTGATAAGTGATTTCATAACGAGTATAAAAACGAAGATGGAAAATTATCAAACCTCAGATTGAAAAATTCCGAAGTTGCACGACCTTATGCATCTGAGAACATGCATAGAGCGATCCGGTGTCCCCGACACCTTCGCAGCTGATGAGTGGGAGCATCATTATCAGAGGTTCTGCAAACAACCATATCTGGCATCGAACAAGCGCAAGGCTGCTTCCCAGATGGTGAATCATGTCCGACGCTCATTGGCTTTGGAGGATGAGATGGAGATTGTGAGAAAACGAAGAAAGAGATCGGCAGAAAATTGGTCATCCGTGACAGACTGCATGGCCACTGGAATTAATACCCTCGCAGCGCGCGACACAACAACTCTACAACTCCGGTGGTTCCAGATGGACGGTGTGCATTTGCCGGAGGTGGAGGGTATAAGCAATGCGGCGTTGAGAATACTTAACGAGCTTCCCTGCAAAGAGGATTTTCGAGCTGCGCTCGCGACGTTCATGACAGAGAACGGCTGTCAACCTTCATCTGATAACCAAGTGATACACACTCGAACACACGACGGGACGCACAGGGGCGCAGGCGTTCAAACGGCAAGAGCTTCACCACAGTTCCACGGGAGAGTCGTGCACAACGATGTTGCAGTGAGAGGTGGGAATGACAACATATGGTATGCATCAGTAGCCATGTTTTTCGTCATGAACACTTGCACAGGGAGTGTTGCGGAGATGCACAAGTGTTGTTTTGTGCAATGGTACAAAGAGGTGGATAGCGAAAGGGAACACACAACAGGTTGTAAGAAGTTGCAATGGGAGAAGGTAAACGGTTATCAGCACAATAGTGTCATAACGATTGACACCATCATCGAGACCGTTCACATTGTTCCTCGTTTTTGTAAACCACAGTGGGGCTCAAAGAAACATGCAAAATGGAACAACACGGTACATGGAATCACAAAAAAAAAATAAAAAAAATTCACAGGGACAGTTTTTTGTTGAATAGATATATACTCTAGAAGTGTACATGGAATCACAAAAAAAAAATAAAAGAATTTCAAAGGCTGAACGTTTTTTCGATAATAATCTGTAGTGGGCGCAGTCGTAATTTTATACTACAGCATGCGTTCAGTTTTTGTATTTCTTTTACACAGAGAGAGAGAGAGAGAGAGAGAAGAGTTTGGACGACAATAGTCATTTTGTAAAGATGGAGTTCAAACATCGGTAGATTTTTCAAGCGGCGAGACTGTATTTCAGACCGGCACGATCGTGCAAGATGGAACAACACGGTTGTGAGACTGTTTTTTCGCACCGACAAGGTTGTGTTACACCGTTGCGTGCACATGTATGAGAAATGTGCATCAAAGCAGTGTGTATGACGAAGGTAACTTCAGAGTTGACTACTGCGTGCACATGTATAGTCAACGTGGACTTAAAAAGTGGCAGGTGGCACGCACTAACCAACCTATGTCTATACTTGCGTGCGATAAAAGGTCATGACGTCACAGGATACCGTCATTCTGCCTCGCAGTACTCTCTCTCTCTCTCTCTCTCTCTCTCTCTCTCTCTCTCTCTCTCTCACACACACACACACACACACACACACACACATATTGTCGAAAGACTTATCGCTAAAGCCGAGTAATTGACAAGATGTGCTTCATGGCCATGTGACTGCCATATGGATAGGAAATGTTGAGGTCGAGGTAACGCCAGAACGACACTCTGCACTGGAAGAAGTGCCAAGACAACAAGCGAAAAAATAAGCGTTTTCAGGAATTGTGGAGAAACCGATTTAGACTGACATAGCAACCTTTGTCCATCAGTCGTGACATATGTTGTATGACGGAGAATGAGGGGTGTTCAGATGAGCGAATCTTACAAAATCAACGAGGGAGTAGATGGCAAGGGTTGTATCATGGGCTTAAAAGCGACGGACAGTTCAGAAACAGCAAGGAATGACGAACAGTCATGTGGACCAAGTGTCACCGAACCGTTGCTCCCATTGAGCAGTGAGAGATCAGTGAAGCGATGAAAGAGGATACTGGAGGATCTGTGGTATGCGAAAATGTACCAGATGATGACAACAGATGACGTCCAATATCCTCAGATGGTGCATGAACCTTTGTTAAGTATTGCAGGGGGCAATCGGTCAAGAGGTATGGCTGCAGAAGCTAGAAAGAGGGTTGAGAGGGAGGACGAGGAACACTTGTTCCCGTTCACGTGGAAATCAAGAAGACACGCCATAGCGATAACGAAACGGGATGTATTTCGATTGGGTGCGAAGCAGTGGCTGAACGACGCCGTAATTGATATGTACTTACAGTCCGTCTATGAAGAACATTTTTCTGCGCAGGACAACACGACACTTCATGTTTGCACAACTTTCTGGCATCCTGCAGTCATCACCAATCAGAAGGTTTATGTCGCGAAAGCAGGATGGCAGGAGCGCATCAAGAGTAGACCTGCAAAACTGCGTCGAATAAGCAATGAACTGCAAACGACAGTTGTTGTTCTCATCCCTTTGAATCACAAAAACCATTGAAAATTGCGCTTGTTACTGAATGTCGGTCGGTTTTTGGCAGTCACGGAGAACAATGATGGCCAGAAACGACCTGTTGCGATCGTCATGGATTCCTTTCAACAGAGCGGCCGACAGGAATGGAAGGCGTTGCGTACATTTTTGTGGTATGAATACCTCAACGAGGCAGATAAAGCAGGGGTGTTGATTCCCATTGAAAATTGCTCTTGTTACTGAATGTCGGTCGGTTTTTGGCAGTCACGGAGAACAATGATGGCCAGAAACGACCTATTGCGATCGTCATGGATTCTTTTCAACAGAGCGGCCGACAGGAATGGAAGGCGTTGCGTACATTTTTGTGGTATGAATACCTCAACGAGGCAGACAAAGCAGGGGTGTTGACTCCCGAGACCGTGAACACGTCGTGGGTGACATGCAGAGATGTACTTGGATCTAATGTAGTATATGCGGAATGTTCGCAACAGACCAATACGTCGGACCGTGGTGTTTACGTTTGTTGCATGGCAGCTGAATTGATGCGAAAGCTAGCAAACGTGACTAAGGGAACGAACATAACTGTAAAATATATAACAGAAGTTGTTAGCGCGATGGAGGTCAACAAACGAACGCTCGAGAGATTTCGTCAGTCAATGGTACAACGCTTTGCGCAGTGTGCAGCAATGGCAAAAGGATATAACACCGCAGCAGCGTGTGACATAGAAAATGTCTTCAGAGATCTCATAGACGGAACACGGAGTGGAAGTCCGTAATTACAAAGGCATGATAGAAACCCGACATCGAAGCACGAAGTTGACAACCGCGTGCAATTATACAAAACTCACATGTCGTAGAGAAGCCAATCGACACGCAGTAGCCAACTTGTGCATGTTACTTGATGAATGAATGCGTGATGTATCATAGAAAAAAAATATCGTCTTTCATGTCACAACGGCAAAAAACGTTCGACTCTCTCTCTCTCTCTCTCTCTCTCTCTCTCTCCCTCCCTGTGTGTGAAAATCTCGCCTACGGTGGTGGATGACAAATGGTCGTTCCATGTGCCAAAATCTTTCCATGTCTAACGTGAGTGTTTGTGAATTCCTGCTTGTCAGAAACTTTTCATAAGGCTGGAGAGAATGGCTCTGAAGCCAAGGTACGAGGATCTGTGCAAGTCCTTGAAGTTCACAGGGAGGAGAGAGAAGGGGGAGAGGACAACAAAAGAAGACAAGAAGACAAAGCAAAGACATAGTATAAGGGATATTCCCCAATTCAATAGACAGGACACGAACACAGTCCGCAGGACAGAAGCAGTGCTCTTTGTCCCCCCGCAGAAAAAGCAGAGGGGGAAACTGGTCGAACACAACAAATCACCTGTCGCGAGTCCCTTGTGGCAGAAGAGACACGGCGACAGCGAGAGGCAGCCCCCAAGAGCGTCAGAGAAGAAAAGACGAGAGGAAAAAGCACAGCTGCAACAATAGAGGGCAAAGAAGGGAATAATATACAGAAAAGACAGAACTCCTGAAGCAATCGACCTCAGAGGGTCATACGATTTACGAACCATCGCTCAGGAGGAAGGCGAAGAAGAAGACTCCGACGAACAAATGTCAGAAGAAGTAGAACATGAGAGAATGCAAGAACAAGGAAAAGGTGACGACAGTGACGCTGACCATGATGTCGATGCAGAGGAGAGCAATCCGGAGGGAAATAGAATCAGCGACAACACGGACAGATCCGAGGAGGTCGAAGAGGAAGAGGAAGGCAACAGTGAAGACGAAGAAACAGAGATTACATCTGCTGTAAACAGTGCAAAATGCGGAACTGATGAAAAAAAGGCAGGCGCACTAGAGACTTCATCGAATGACAAACAAATTGTGCAGAGGGAGAATGTACCGCTACAGGGTAAGATGAAGGGCGCCTTATAAAGACACCACTATGTGTGCACAGCACAAACGTTTTCCGTGCTGCCGAAACGACCAGGTTCATTGAGCGTGGAGGGGAGGGGGAGAGAAGGGGAGGGGGCCGGGGGGAGGGGGTGGGGGTGGGAGGGGGTTACGAAGTGTGTTCGGGGGTGGATCGAGGAGGGGGAGTGGCAGTCTTATGTTTATTTCTGATTGTAATACATAAAACACATATCGCGGAGGGTCTTCTTATTACTAAATCATTAATTTGTTGGTCTTCTTTTATTTTTTGTCCAGATTGCACTAATTTGCAAAGACAAAGCAGCACAGGTGGAGGTAATGCTGGCGAACCAATAGAGCAACAAACCGGGGGTTGTACAAAGAAAATGAAAGACAAATTGTTTTGTTCAGTGACAAAGGCCTTTGCTTTTTCTGCAGCAAAGGATGCGACGCTGTACCCATCGGAGGACATTTTTTTCACGACGCTGCAAACAACTATCAAATTAATAGGAGAACATGCGGAGGAAGGACTACGGTTGCACGTGGCAGCGAACGGAATCCGAGTTGTTATCGGGGAATGCAATCGGATTATGACAACGGTCCGATGCGAGATATCATGGCAATTGAAGCATTGGTTTTGGGCCGAAAAAGGTCTGCCGCTGGTCCGGTCAGCTCAAACGGATCACCAGCTTCCGACTCGCAACAGGATGCGGGCAGAGATGAAGGGAAACACAACATGGAGAAGGAGCGGCAATGATCGGTGGGGCGCTCCTCCTTTCAAGACAACACTGACAAAAGTTTTCCAAATGAGAAGAGATGGCATCAACCTTGGCGTAACGTTGCAGCAACTAGCATTTGCGGAGCTGGTACTGAAAAGTGAAGTCGAGCAGACGGCAAAGACCAGTAAAACAACGGACCAAATACAGAAACCTGCAGCTATCAAGAAAGAGATCGTTGCATCGGTCCGCTCCAGAAACACGGTCTTAAACTTTTTTATCTTCAAACTCGACCGTGTTGTTTCTGTTGCAGACAAGGTCGTCGCATTGTACAGAGCTGGGTTGCCTGTTGTGCAGAGGGGAGACGCCAATAACATGACTACAACAGATGATGATTTTGACGTTAAGTTCATTGCGCACACCGTGGACAAATGTGCGGGCATAGAGAGAGATGAAGAAAGTTTGTGCGCAAGGCCGTGAAAAGGAGAAGAATAGGTCCGGAAGTGGATCAAGGGGGGTTGGGGGTGGAACAAGGCCAGGGTGGGGAGGGAGGTGGACGATGATGTTGGAGGGGACATGAGCTGCACCTCCACAAACAGTCAGTGGCATGACACACAGCCAATGAGGACCAAAGTGTAAAATGAGAGAGAGAGAGAGATAGAGAGTTATTATTTGGAAAAAAAAAAGACTCTGGAGAACCCTTTGGGATGAGTGTACAATAAGCAAACATGTGTTATTTAAAAAAATGGTTTTGTACAAGACCTGTCGTGGATGTGTTTCGACCATCAAGTAGCATTTGCGTTTCGCATCTCACATTACTCACTATCAATTTATTGTACACATTGTTGCATCTCTCATTTGTGTAATATGGGCCAAAATATGTCAACGTATGATTTTGCAAAAACATGAATTGTTTGAGCCGTTTGCAGAAAATACATTACGCACTTCCAAAAATGTTGAATATGATGGCACAAAGCAGTATTGGGCAGGCACTAAAAAACATGTTCCTCTTAATGTTGGGCGAGAAGTACATGACTGGTTGACTACTG